CGGCTAGATTTTTAAAATGTATAAATGTCTATGATGGCGTTTTCAAAAACGTCGCTAAATGTCATAGTGACGTCATTGTACAGTTAGGTAGGACATTTGACGGCGTTTTTAAAAACGCCGCCAAATGTCCTACCCTAATTGTACTGTGACGTCATTATGACATTTAGCGACGCTTTTGAAAACGCCATCATAGACATTTATACATTTTAAAAATCTAGCCCCTGCGGTGGGATATAGTGACGTTTAAACGCCGCCATAACCTTTTTTTTTTTAATTTATAAATTTTGTTAATTTTATATGGTTGAACAAAAAAAATACCTATCAAACAATTATTAAGAACAATTATTAAGAACTAATAATTGATGTTTATTAAAATAATAAATAAACTAAGCTTGAAAACAAAATTAAAAATAAGAAACAATGCATTACATACCTAAGAATAGCAACAATTCAGACTTTAAATACATCAATTAAAATCAAAATGGTCAAGCAGCCCAGAAAAATTAAAAAGGAATAGAAAGCACACTAATATGGCTTATAATATTAAAAGTACCACTTGTCTTCCAACTATATCCAAAGATGAGCCTAAACTATATGCAACAGATGATACATTTGGAACCATACAGTACGCTATAATCCAATTAAACAAGATAAAAAGAATTAGAGGGGGGGAAAAGGTAAAAGAACAAGAACAAATAAAAAAAGCTTCATCATATTCCATTCAATGGCTTTTTCCCTCTCTTCTCACATAAATTCTACATGTAGCAACTTCATATCCATCAGGATGATCATTCGGAGTTAAATAGCTTCTCACAATCAAACAGAGTTGGGTTTCAAATTATTCTATCTTGTTTTCTTCCAAATCAACGTTCCATACCCCGTTATTTCCACCGTGTACTGATCCGACTTCAAGTGGACTTCGAATATCCTTTGAAGGCATAGGAGATGGTTTGATGAGTGTCAAAGTATTATCATCCTTGTCAACCTCTTCACTTGCTTCTCCCAAGTATAGCTGCCACATGTGAAAATATTCAATGTGGAGACAAGAAAATAATTGACAATTAATTTTTATAGCATAAAAGAAGCCCTCTACGAGGAGTTTGCAACTAATTTCTATGTTCCACCATAAAATTGATCGATAGTTAGGGAGATTTTTCCTAGACACTCAAGTCGCTACGAGGTATTATGACCTAATGTGACAACCTATCTTCAAATTTATTATTAATTTATTATAGATCGCCCACTAATATTAATTTATTATAGATTGCCCACTAAGGAGGACTCCTGGCAGCGGGAATTGAACCTAAGCCGTGGAGGCAAAGTGTCTGATCCTTACCAACTTAATCAACCTCTGGTGGCATAAAAATATATCCTTATTTTGTTGTCCCCACTTCTATTTGTGTTCTGTGTCAAGAGATGATTTTTCTTCCAGAATAAAAAAATGGTGACTGAAGGATGATTTTTGTATGATTGCATGCAGCATGCTTGATAAGCATGAAAAAAAGATAACTAATCCAAATGCAAGTTTGGTAAACTATAACTCGCATGAAAACTTGTTAAGGGGTGTAAAAATAGTCATCCATACACCACAAGTAAGTTGAACCTAACTCTGTTTAACTTCAAGTGTGACGTCCTATAACCTAAGAACAGTCACTTTTCAAGAAAGAGATTGCATAACCAGAGTGACTATAACTAATACAAATCAGCATTATGAATCTAGATGGAGCACCAACAAAACAAGCATTTATAGCCTGATCAAGGTACAAAAATCAGATACAGAATTAAAAGGTTAAACTGAAAGATAGGCACATACCTGGGATGAGGATTTCCCTTTACCATTTTTTGTCCATACTTGCGCCACCTGTAGCCATCTCCTGAAATTCCCAAATCACCATCTCGCAACTTGAAGACACTCTCAATGACTGACAATTCTGTTGCTGTAGTATTTGATCCACAGAACGCTGTACAGTCGTTAACTGTCAAGCCAGCGGCTATCACTTCACTACCACGGTTCACAGTCCCTGCCACCAAAGGGACCTGAAGGAGGGTTGAAAGTTCATCCAAGTCTTCAATGGATGTATAAGGATGGACCTGCTCCAACACAATTTCCATTAGAAAGGGGACAACAAAAGAAGATAAAATTTTGGTACCTGATGTTTGATAAGATTGCCACAGATGCAGGATATAATTTCTTACCAGGCCACCTTTATTGGAGAAGGCACAATAGCTGCCCACAAGAATGTTACCAGCAATTGTCTGCCTAAAAACTTCTACCCCAAGAACATTTGCAATCATCTCCTCAGTTTCCTGCAAGTCAACATGAATATAAGTGTTATCTAATAGAAGTTTAAGTCCTACAACATAAAAAAGAAGAATCATCACTGCCTGTTGATGCCGACATCTACCTAAATTTAACGAAGAATCATTACCTAAACTGAATGAATTACCGTAAACTAGAAAAACACAATGCAACCAGTCTTTAGAACTGTTCAAGAACCCATTTGTAATCTAAGTTGTCTAGTGGTATCGCATGTGAGAAACTAGAAACGGTGCCAATGGGTATTGAGCACCTTAGAAATCTAAGTTGTCTAGTGGTATCGCATGTGAGAAACTAGAAACGGTGCCAATGGGTATTGAGCACCTTAGAAATCTAAGTTGTCTAGTGGTATCGCATGTGAGAAACTAGAAACGGTGCCAATGGGTATTGAGCACCTTAGAAATCTAAGTTGTCTAGTGGTATCGCATGTGAGAAACTAGAAACGGTGCCAATGGGTATTGAGCACCTTAGAAATCTAAGAAGGAGTATTTGAAAACAGTTCAGGATGCTAATAAAAAAACTCAGTATAATTTGGTGCAGTTTTTCAAACTAGGGAAAATAATGGTTCCAAAAGAACACTTCCCACGATCATGAATCAGGAAAAGTGTGTTTCATATCCTTTAGACAAATTGGGAACAAAGACAGAGAGAGCCACCTGGAAATACTCCAGCAAATCCATCAGCCTGCTAAATCAACTCATCGACAGGGAGGGCCACAACGGATGCATCCTTGTCTTGGCCAAGCAATGCAGAAGATGGATACATGTTTGTTCCCATTCCCAGCCGCCGACCAGTTTCCTTGCCAATTGCAAGCTGATCACCTAAAAAGGTTGGACCCAAAAAAAAAAAATAAGCAATGAAAAATCAGTTAAGACAATAGTGTATGCACGGTATTATTACCAGTAATCATCTTTACATTCACTCCAAGATTGAGAGCTCTTTTGATGGTGTCTGCACCATCATGCCTAGGTGGATCAAATAAAGGCAATAAACCAACAAACTGCCACGGTGCCCCTGGACTATCTTTTGTCTTCTCAGGTACTTCCTGCAAATAAATAATATAAGCCAAATTTAACAATTAAGATTGTTCCAATGAATCAGAAAGAGTAAAAATGTGAGTCTGCAAACCTGTCTAGCAACTGCTAAAGATCGAAGTCCATGTTCAGCAAACTTTTCAATCACAGAGTGAACCTTCTTTCTGACATCCTCTTTGCAGTTGCAAAGGGCTAATATCTATTTGTTAAGAATAAGAAACAAGAAGTAAGTTACTACTTGTGATGGTTCTAGAAGTTTTTTCAACTAACAAAAATCAACAAACAAGTAATCATAAACGAAGAATACAAAAATTTGTACTTACAGTCCCAGATCTGATAATTTCTTTGTATCTTTCAGTCTTCCAATCCTACAGATTGATAACCCTAAAACAATCAACACAACCACCTAACTGATGATACATATTATAAATCTTTTCAATTCCACGAAATTAGCACAAAGATCGTGCACTAGTATAGAAACTCAAAAGGTATGGAACCTTTTCTTACAATCTGCCAGGTTGCTTAAAAATATACAATGAGGGAAAAACCATATGACCGATTTGCATCGTAAATGTCCTCACTCTATATTTATATATAATATTTATATACATCCATCCATCCATCCACACATATTTATTTATACATGAATCCTGTAGACTAAAAGTTTGTCATCCATAGTTATTCTGATCTATTTCATTTCAAGTGCCCAAGAGAGGAAGACTAACCTTCAGACAGCGTTGATCTTGCACAACCTGTTTAGCACAGGCCCTAACCTCATCTGGATCAATCTTGGATTGAGATCTAGAGAGAGAGAGAGAGAGACGGTGGAGCTCGCTACCTCTTCGGTGCAGATGACGGTGGCGACGGAGCATCGAAATCGCCCTGAATCTCGAAATTGATCTGAATCTTCAAAAACGCTCTGAACAGCCGATTGATATCGATCTGAATCTTCGAAATCGCTCTGAACAGTCGATTCATCTTTCGAGAGACGAAGCTTCTTCGTAGAGTTATCTCCTCCATCTTCTTCGTCGCTGTGAGAGAGAGAGAGAGATGTCTGCGTACAAGATAAGAGAGGTGTGCGTATAAGAGAGAGGGCTCAGATTAGAAAATAAGGTTTTCAGAAAAGGGGCGCGTGTATCTACCGCATTTGGAGGCGGTTTTAGACGCCTTTAAATAGAAAACGGTGCCGTTTTGGTTAAAAAATTTTGCGACGGTTGAAAACGCCGTTAAAGATTAAAAAAAGTGACGTTTAATTAAACGCCGCTAATTGAACGCCGCAAAAGCCCTGATTTCCTGTAGTGACAAGTATGTGATAGCTGGCAAAGGGTTTAGTTCAATTGAAATTATCCAACCCTTCGCCAATAATTTATATTAGTACTAGACAAGTCTAGCTAGTGCTGGCAGTCATACCCTTCGCCAATAATTTATATTAGTACTAGACAAGTCTAGCTAGTGCTGGCAGTCATACCCTTCGCCAATAATTTATATTAGTACTAGACAAGTCTAGCTAGTGCTGGCAGTCATACCCTTCGCCAATAATTTATATTAGTACTAGACAAGTCTAGCTAGTGCTGGCAGTCATACCCTTCGCCAATAATTTATATTAGTACTAGACAAGTCTAGCTAGTGCTGGTAGTCATACCCTTCGCCAATAATTTATATTAGTACTAGACAAGTCTAGCTAGTGCTGGTAGTCTGAAAATTTTAAAATTATTCACAAAGTTCTAATCAATAAGATTGAATTAGGGCATTTGACTTAGTAGTTGTGTAGTACCATTTATAGTGTAAAGTCTCGAATTTAATTCCTACAAAAAGGAATTTAATACTCCTTGTGTTAATTTATTTCTCCATCATTATAGGGTTTACATAATTGGTGGTAATTGTGCTGGGCTTGGGTTTAGATAAAAAAATATAAAAAATCTGATATAGTAATTTTATGGAAAATTTACCCATAAGTCCTAGTTTCTAAAAAGTTGAACCATTTAGTCCTAAAAGTTTTCTTATGCTCCATTTAGTCTCATTTGCACATCAATCTAATGTTCAAAACATTAATCTGATGTTCGAAATCTAATGTTCGAAACATTAATCTGATGTTCAAAATTTAATGTTCGAATCATTAATCTGATGTTTGAAACATTGTAATGGGACCTTTCAGTCTATAAAAAAACTTTTAGGACTAAACAGTGTATAAGTTATTAATTTGAGATTTATTGATGCATCCCCCTAATTTTATTTGTTTTTACAGTGGAGTGTGAGTCATGCCTATTTTCTTAACCCGATAAATCACATGTACGTGGGGGCTTTTAATATTCACCAATTTAACGAGTGGGCCTTTTAGGTTCCCCCCACCAAATAAAAGCGGATGGATTCCATGAAATAAATGATATATTATATAAATAAATAAATAAATACATGAAGCTAATATAAAATGATACAGTAAATTTTGATTTTGTCATTTTAAAAAAAAAATATCAAAATAGTTTATGTTTTTTAAAATGTCATTATTCTCGATTTAACGTTTAATAAAAATAGGATCAATCATTAGTATAGTGTACAGTGTTGATGATGCTTTCGAAGGATTATTAATAATGATATAAATAATTTGTGGATCATGTACACTGCTAACTTAAAAAAGGAAAAAAAATCCAAGTGGTCATGCATGAAATTACAAAACAATGTCTGGTTTAATTCTTTCAAAAGCTCCTCCCTACCTAACATTCCAACCAAACGAAGGTAATGAAACCTCCTTTGTGAGCAGATAAGAGCCACCGACACAACAAATTGAAAAGGCACCCCTTACTATTACTAAGTAAATAATGTCTTGAAAAGGAGTAATAATAAAATACATTTTAAAGTTTGAGTCTTCTAATAAAATAAATACTAAATTTTTATTTTTGTCAATTTAAACTTAATATTTTGATTTGTTTTTAATATAAACATTTGTCTATTTTTGTTAAGTAAAATTATTAGAAAAATAGTATTTTAATCATTAAATTCAATGAAAATAAATATTTTTGACATATTTCGTACACTTACATAGAGTATAATGACTGAAATATTAGCTTTTGGTCAATTTTATTTAAGAAAATAAGCAAATAGTTTAAATTGAAAATAAATCAAAAGATTATGATTTAAATTAATAAAATTAAAAATTTAAGATTTATTTTGTTATAAAGCTTAAACATTAATTTTCTTTTTGTAATTTCTCCTAATATATGAATAGAATATTCATAAATAATTTTATATTGAATTTTTTTAATTAAAAATAAAACACTCATAAAAATAATTTATATTTATAAAAATAGCACTGTCAGCTATTTCTCAAATCACTTTTAATAAATGATTGAAAAATGAAGATTAATAAAAGGGGCCAGCTTCTCTCCAGTTCATGATCATATTAGAGTGTGTTGTTGGACAGGTGGAGGCCCACCACGAGTTCCATTTTGATAATCTGAACCATCTAATATGTAGAACTCGTTGAATACTTTATCCCCATAAAAACTGAAGTTGATCGGATATCGATAACTACTTGATCGGATCAGATTTTTGTCAACGGTAAATATAGTTTTCAAAATAAATTGTTGACAAAAATATGATCCGATCAAGTAGCTGTCGATATTCGATTAACATAATTTTTTATAGGGATAAAATACGTGACGAACTTTACATATTAAACGGTTCAAATTATTGAATTAGGACTTATGGTAGATCTCACGGCCCAACATCACCATCCTACCCTCTAATAGAAAGTTGTGATTTCTCATTTATTGTGCATACAAGGACAACTTGAACTTTGTGTTTTGATCAAGATATGAAAAGAAAACAACAACAAAACAAATAAACAAACAAACAAACAAATAAATAAAAAGAAGGCAATCCTAAGACTAAATAGAAATTGGTCTTAATTTTCATATGAAAAATTAATCTTGAAACCATATTTTATATTCTCATGTTTAAACCTACTACAAGTACAAGCAAAGAAAATTTAAAAATATATAACATTCTAGGTTTTAAGAAGATGCTTGAGGTATGAATTTATAGGGCTTTTTTTTTTTTTTTTGCTAGCAATTTATAGATAATTATTAAACGTCTGTTTATTAGTCTAACTCATTAATAAATCAACAATGATTCATCTCCCCTTTTCCCTCCACTCCCTTTGACCCCCTCTCTCTCTCATTGGTTACATTTTCTTTTTCTTTTTCTTTTTCTTTTTTTTCCTGCTCTTCCAATCACCACCCGCCACGTGACAAAAGGGGTGAGGGGGTGACCCCCAATTATTCTAGATATTTATAAGCTAAATTACTTATCATGCGATTGTGAATAGGTTATTTTAGTCTCAATAAAAAAGACTTTTACTGGTTGTGTTTTTAATAAGAACCAATGTGATGTTACTTGAATTTCAAAGCAGAATGAGGAAGCTTCTTCTTCACTCTCTCTCTCTCTTTTTTTTTTATTGGTGTGGAGGCTCTCAGTTCCTCGGTTCGAAAAGGAGACATAGAACGAATCACAGAATGATTGCCAAAAAATGGGGCAACATCAACTATGAGATCTGATGTAGTTAATGTATATATATAACCAATCCATACTGTTTCTTCAATATGGATAAAAATGTAAATTACATATACAATAAATCAAAAACATATATCATACCAAAAATAAAAAGGACTAAATGGTTTAAGAAAAAACACACGGGACTAGATAGACCAACATTTCCCAATATAGGATTTATGAGTAATTTTTCCAAAAAATTATGTTGATTTGGTATTCATAATCACGAGATTGAATCACTTTGATTTCAAAAAAATAAATAGCATATTTTCAAAATAATACTTACCTTATAAATTTTTTTTAAAACAAAATAAACCCACCACTGTTTAATTCAATCCTCTAATCCAATTAGTGGAGTGAAAGAAAGTTGATTCCTTATGGAAACTGTAATTCTTTTAGTCTTGGGTTAGTATTATACCACAACATAAGTGGATAAACCTTAGTTCTTGTTTTTATAATCTACTAGTTGGACCCTCACGAGCTACGCGCGTGGGTTTCGCGTGGTTGGTTGGAACAATATGTTAAAGTATGAAGATATTATACAAATACATTAACAGAGTGAAAATATGCCACACTTTAAATTAGTAGTCTGTCAACTAACAAAGACTTAGAATAAAATTTGTAAACATTAAGGTGACAAGAATATCTTATTTCACATATTCAAGAAAGTAGAATTTTTCCATTTTTTCTTTTTCCTCTTTTAATTCCAAATAGAAGACCCCATGGAACCAAAATTTGGGTCACGAATTACCTATGTTGCTTAAGAATTGAAGTCTTCCAAGTTCCAACTGGTCTTCACCACAGACAAGATATACTCTGAAAGTCTTCTAACACTTGCATTCAACAAGGATGATCCATGTGTAAAAATTGTCTCAGGATCAAACGCTATATACCCTGTCATCATTTATCACAACAAAAGGTTAAATATTCAAAATGAAATTATATAGCACTACAAACAAAACAAAAGAATCAGTTAATAATTTCTTCAACTTATATAATCATATACAATTAGATAACATATTTGTGCAAATTAAATTCAATGAATAGTTACAGACCAACAAATTTAGTTTTTGAGATTTTTAATTACATTTTTGAATGACCTCATCTCTTCGTAGAGAGATAGATCAGTAATGACCAAACTATCCATCGAGGCAATTTAAAAAAAAAAAAGCTACTCATATAGATTCATTACTAGATAATCCACAATATTAGCCAATACATACATATAACTATATACGATAGTAGAGGGGCGAGAAAGCAAGATATAGTTGGTGGAGTCCATTAAGAAAGAGAAGCATGAAAATGGGAAGGAAATAGATGAAGTGACAGATGAAACCAAAGATTGCATCTAGGCCTTAATTAATTTCTTTTTCTTTTCAACTGGGTTTGTGTTTAATTACATATAAATAACAATCAATTCACTATCTTTCCAATTGCATTGGGTAACTTTTTAGCTGAGAAATTTAAGTGATTAAGATGAAGAATATAAAAGAAATTAGAGCGCACTAAAAGTACTGTTTTTTTTTTTTCTCCGTTTTTTTTTTAAAACTTATGTTTGTCCAAGAAATTTCATTATCACCAAAAAGGAACACATCACATGCAAACAAATTTCTTATGCGAACAACTTTGATTATTTCATTTCATCGGGCTTCACCTCTAGGATTTTTGCTTCTTGAACTGGGTTGATCTTATTTTTGGAAATGTCAATTCATTTGACATTGTTTGATTTCAGATTAGTACGAAAATTTCTTCTTGTATTCTTGGATCAATTTTTCATCACTACCAGGAAAAGGATATAGGTCTGAAGATACCAATAGGAATTACTTAAAATGACAATTACTATCCTTAAATAGATTCTTACACTAATTTATAAGTTACATTTTATTTACCCACCTGTTAACAATACTTTCATTTTTAATTGGTTACAAGGGTGGGTCTAGTTCTTCGAATGTGTGGCACAGGATGATTCTTCTTATGCTTCTTCTTCACTCTCTCTCTCTCTTTTTTTTTTTTTTTGGGCGGTCATAGTCTTGTACAATTCAACAACTCTCCTTGTTTATTTCCTATTGTTTAACCATATAGTACTTAAATATCAGGATGCCCATATAGTGCTAATTTTATTAATTCATGATGCCCATATTTTTGTGCAAATTAATTACCTGATGAAAGCTCCAAACATAGCTACAATACGTGCGACCAGAACTGTTCTGCTTACTTTAGCAACAGACAGTGCACCAGAGAACTTGACTCTCTGCTTTAGCTCCAAACATAGCTCAAGAAATGTCCAGCTGCTTGAAGCACCAACTCTGTTCCAAATACACAACCAACATTTGAAGATTCAGTTGGGTCCTTTGGTTTTATAAGATTTCTTTTGAAGGTAGCAGCCAAAGAAAATGAAGTAGATGGCATGCGCATATTGCTTACAGCCTGTATCAATCAAATTTGTAAAGATCATGGATTGAACGGTGGCAAGTCACATTGTAATATAACAGGAAATTGTAACAACCAAGAAGAGAATGCCATTTGTGAACAGTAGTAAACTGAAATAATAAAAGAATGCCTGTATCAATCACTCTCTCCCTTTTTTTTAAAAAAAAAAAACCAAAAAAAAAAAAAAAAAAAAAACCAGATATAATCCTACATAGCACCAGATGCTTTGAAAAATATTTGTATAGTTGTGACTTTGGCAATTGCGATGAGATGTTTCACAATAATGTACTCGAGATGTTTCACAAGGTACTTCAGATCATGGCAAGCTTTAAGTAACATTCATATGTACATATATATATATTAGAAACTGGAATATAAATCATGGGACTTTTAAAACATATTAACAGTTGCTACTACTATGAGTCTATGAATCAATTCAAATAATGCATTCTTGTAACTAACCTCAGATTCTAATATCCTTTTCTCTTCTTTTGCTTTAAGTTTTGCAATTTCCTTCATCTTTTCCGCTGCATCAGTACATGCATCAGTTACTAAAGATAAACAATGCTCCAATGTTTAATCCTAAATAATTAATGGTTCAGCAAATAATATTATAAATTTATCACACTAATTATAAACAATTGAAAATAATTGCAGGAACATGGCATTTTGAGAAGAAAAGCTGGTGAGTAATAATATCCAAAACTGAAAATTTACACTCCTCATAACCTAAGAATATTGTAGGTTACAAATCATGAGAAAGAAAATCCTTAATGACCCGATCAATTCGATTAGGAACTCGCCATCTATTTTCATCATTCAACTTTTTGACAACATGAAAAAACCAAAAGCTCTACCCTCCCTCTCTATCTATCCAAGGGATAGAAGGGCAAAGACCTTTGGTGTCCCCTCCAATCAAGAATTTGGACCTCACCATACACAAAAACCACCCTCCTTTTACTAGCCCATTTAGTGTGTTCTTCTATGCACTCTAAATAAATTCAGTGGGTATCACTTTTGTCTTCCCCCATCAGTACTATAAAGTGAAGCTAACAATGCTTGATAGCTGGTTAAATACATCTATTTTCATCATTCAACTTTTTGACAACATGAAAAAACCAAAAGCTCTACCCTCCCTCTCTATCTATCCAAGGGATAGAAGGGCAAAGACCTTTGCTGTCCCCTCCAGTCAAGAATTTGGACCTCACCATACACAAAAACCACCCTCCTTTACTAGCCCATTTAGTGTGTTCTTCTATGCACTCCAAATAAATTCAGTGGGTATCACTTTTGTCTTCCCCCATCAGTACTATAAAGTGAAGCTAACAATGCTTGATAGCTGGTTAAATACTAATCCTAATCCTTTGTTTTTTTTTTTTTCCCTGATAACAAATTTATCTACCTGCAACTCACAATTGACGATCAATGGGCTCACCAAAGACGGCGAACCATGAAATCCTGCATTGCCAATCAAAATAAGCATTTTGCAAAGTACTCGAAATTTGTGAGTAAAGCAATCAAAAACACTCAACAGTAGGATAATCATTTTATTTGATAAGAAACCATGAAAGTAAAGACAAACATTTATTCCTCTTGTTAGTAAAACATCGATAAACTTTGAGAAACAAGTTTGAGAAAATTTAACTTTTCTTGGGAGTGTGGATTTCATTACTCTAAATAAATGATTATTCATGTTTACTATCAAATGTAAGTACATGTCATATGTGAATTAATATTAATTAATTTTTGTTTTCTTTTATCGCTATATGCATCACTACAACATGAAAAGTTACAGATACAAAAATCCGTGAAAGAGATCTGATATAATATTTTCATGTTTTCCGTAGTGTAATTTAATTTCATTAATTCACTTGAAATGTCACCGAACTTAATATTTGGATAACATGTGTTAAATTCTATGACAATATGTGAGACATTTTCACATATATGCCTCGTGAAGTTTGCACATTGAATAGTTCTATTAGTTTATTCATAAGAGATTAGGAATACCAAGTGAATTTATTCATAATACCAACTATCTTTTACTCTTTTTTGTATACTGTATCATGAAAATTTTGACATATAATGCATAGACTCACATGTCGTGTAAAATTGAACGATAAATCATTCAATGAGAAATAAAAATTAGGTGTGATGTTTTGTTTCTTTAATCCACTAATGACTGATGTTTATATGGACATGCAAATACAGCACTTGGATATTCAGACATTATTAGAGATAGACAGAACTTGTAATGGCTATCAAAAAAAATAAAATAAAAGAAAAACCTATTTGAAAGTAGCTATATGTGTATATAATTAAAGAGAAATCTTCTTGCAAACTAATAGATAAATCTTAATCAGGCAGCTAGTTAGACATTTTGTCAAGCAGATAGTGTGCATAATTTGTCTATTGCGCTAACAAACACCAATAAAACAGAAACATACAAATCAAGTATCCATATGTCCATAGAAGACAAACAAGCAACAAGCCAAAGAGATTACATGCCAAATTGTAGCAAGATAAAAACTATCACAGAACTTAGAGTATTTATATCTCATTGTTTACCTATCTTCGTCTCTGCAGGACAGTGAAGACGGTGATTTAGTTCAAATCGACACAACCATAGCCATAGTAGAAGGTAGCTCTCCTGTTATTCTATTTGCTAAGGACACCAAACAAAGACATCTACCTCTTCATAAACAGAGTTGCAACGTCACGTCATATAGCTGACCAGTGTTGGGCGCAGTGAACTTGTGGTTGGCTACTCCAGCGGTTATGGCTTGTGGTGCATTTGCTGGGACACATGGATAGACCATAAGCAAACACATCATCTGCCTATTTCAATAGAGATAGAAATATGCGCAAGAGGTGAGATTGCCATTATCTATCAGGATGAAGGGCAAAAAGAAGAATTTGATGCGTTAGATTCAACCTGCTCGCTTTCGTTCTTTTATATATAGGTTATAGAAACAGTTTAGTTTATACAATTATTCATATGCATTATTCAAACAAAAAATTAAAAGTCAATTTGATAATCGTAAATTGTTTAATTTATCACATTTATTTATTAAAAATAGATGGTAAATGTATTTTTAAAAATATATCATTAATTTTTTTGTAGCAAGCATAACTAATTAAATAAGTTATAATTATCGAATCGATCTAATTTTTTTTTTTATAAATAATTTATATAAAAATTATTACAAAATAAATAAATCAAATTATCAAATATGAGTCATAATGCCCCCTAAAGCCACAAAATCTTATAGTAATGGTAAAATTTTTCCAAAAAATATGTATGACGTCATACTTAATTAAAAATCACTTTCCAAACATGCTAAAACATTGTAAATTACAAGTCAAAATTAATGCATAATAAAATTTGCACTTCCAAGATTGTGGGTTTATGAGAAATAGGGAACGCAAGATCGCTAAAAACGTTGCGTTTGGTAGAGTTTTAGAATTATGATTTGAAAATATAATTGTATTTTGAGTTTGTGAGTTTTGAAATTATGAATTGAGTGTGAAAAATTTATTTAGTTTTGAATTTTAAAAAGAATTTGAATTGAGTGATGTGACATATAATATTAAAAAGTTAGTGTTTTGAAAAGTGAGTGTAAAATTAACTTTCTAAAGGTGTAATCAAACAACACACTCAAACTAATGAATAAAATTAAACTTTAAAAGCACTCCCAAATAGAGCCTTAATTTTCCTAAACCTAATTCATTTAATTATTATTCAACTGAACCAAAACGGCCTTTAACTTAACCCCTTAACAAGAGTCAAACACAAACAAAAAACGAGTTAAGCTCAATCCTAGGCTCCTCAGTCTTACTATGGTCTTGTTTGGTGTAACTGTTAAAAAAGATTATAAATTATAACTTAACAGATTATAGATTATGACTTTAATAAGAAGTTGTTAATATATTTGGTATAACTGTTCGATTATAGATTTAACTTGCGGAGTAGTGTTTGTTAAATAAGCTGTGAAGTAATTTTTTCAATTAACTTTTATTTTTTTATTATTCACTATTTGTCTACATTTCTCATAAAAAATAATAATAATATTTTATAGTTCATTTGGATTTTTTTCTATTTTTAAAAATATAAAAAAAAAAAAATTTAAGAGTATAATCGTAAATTAAAATGTCCACAGCAGAAGTTGATAATCAGAAGCAAGGTGTGAACAGCTTTTCAGAATCAGCTTTTTTGACTTAAAATAAGTTGTTAAAATCAGACGCTGTTTGAAATAAATTTAACCAAACGGTCTAAAATAAATTTTTAAAAACCAAAAACCATAAGTTAATTCAAAAAAGTCCCACCAAACACCCCAGGTAAACCCCCAGCTCCACGCCGCTTTAGTTTTTCCCTGTCTCGTGCTCTTTTGTGTTGTCGCTTTTTTACTCGAGTTTGAAACGGTGCTGTTGTGAAAGCTTCGCTCCAAAGCTTCCGATTTTCTGTAAGTTTCATTTTTTTTTACCCCCCCTCTTTGATTCTGAATCGTTTTTGTTTTCGTTTTCAATCTCTCTTTGCTCATTTTGTGTTTTTTTTCGTATTGATTGATCTAAATTTTTTGGTGAATGGAGCTTCGATTCGTTTCTCGAAAGAACTTTATTCTCTGTTACTTTTAAATTGAGAGGGATAGAGAAAGTCTGAGGGATTTTTATTTATTATTTATATATTTATAATGGAATTCTGAAACTTTCAGTAAAAAAAAATGGCGATTTGAAATCGTAAATTGTTAAAAAATTTCTCTAAGTTGAGCCTTGAAATTGTACTATGTTTTTATGCGAGTTTGTTTCGTGTGACGGCATAACAAGTTCTGATTTATTTATTTATTTATTTTTTTTCCTACACAAAAATTGCTCTGTTTGTGGCCCAAGCTCGAGCCCCTGGGCCTGGGCCATTAATAAAAGTCATGGGATGCTTTTCAAAGGTTGTTCGTTCTATGGTTCCTTTACAATTCAAATTCGAGAGGAGGGAAACCAAGCTGCAATGATAGTGGTTATCATCGAGAATGGAAGGTTGTGTTTGGTTGGTGAATTTGATGAGAGAAATAGAAAAGAAAAAGAAAATGTAATCTTACTTTTTGTTTGATTATAATGAAAAACACATAAGAAAAGAAGGTGGGAGGGAAATGTAGTCGCATTTTTTGTCTTTTGATTCACTTATGCTCTTTTATTATTTTATCTCTTAACTCAACCAAACATAGTTGGGAATTTGAATTTTATGAATTCTTTCTCATTTTCTTTCTATTTCTCATATCAAATTCTCTAACCAAACACAATCTAAAGAAACTTCAACAGTTATTGAGAGATGCTACGAAGACTATAAATAGGTAGAAAAGGAAAAGAAAGAGGTCTTGATTAAAAAGGGAAAGGAAGAAGTTGACATAAGGTTAAAAAGTTATAACAGGGCTAGGTGACTGTGTTTGGAAAGTTGGGTTTTGGCTAAAATAGTGAACAAAGATAAAGTAAGTTAAAATAATTAATAAGATAAAATGTCATATTTAAACCATAATTGTTTCACTTTTTCTCTCATAACCATCGACTCAATTATAAAAAAATTCAATTATCATCCTAAATATAAATTTTTTAACCAAACTAAAATAATTAAAAGATTAAAAAACCAATTAAAATAATCAAGTTTTCAAACGAGTCCTTAGTGGACTTGTCAAACTCAAATTTAGTGGAACGGTCATGGGTTCGAATTCTATAAAACTTGGGTTTCAATAGGGGTGTAAATTGGGTCCAGCCTGACTTGTGGGCCAAAAATTAGGTCCAGGGGGTATTTAGGGCTTGGACAGGCTGGCAGGCCTAAATATTTTTGTTAATATTTTTTCTACTAAAATTTTATTTTTTCCACTAAAAATGACACTGGACCATGGGCAAGCCGGGTCTTGGCCGAGTTTTATGTAGACTGAATGTTTACTGTACCGTTGCATAGGGATTGAGTCCCTATTCTGAATGATTGTATATATTGTGTTTACCTTTCCACTGAATGTAAATATGTTTGGAAAGTCTTTTTGCATGCAGACTGTCACAGCTCATTGGGCATTGTTTCTTTACTGTTTTGGCTTCCGCCAGGCCCTGTACTCTGTTTTACTGTACTACTGTCAAGCATGCCTTCGGTAATCTTGGATTACTGGCCGGTTACGGTGCTAAACCCATAGGGCCGAGTTTGGGTCGTGACATTTTAAGTGGGCCTTGAGCGGGTCAATTTATTGGGCTAGACAGGTCGGGTTTTAATTTGACGGCCTAAGCCCAAGTCCAGAGTCCTTGGCTGGGTTCAGACCTGGGCAACAGATTTCGGGTCACTCACAAACCGCAAATCATTTTTACACCCCTAGGTTTCGATCAGCATTCACTGGGTAACTTGACCTGACTGCATAAATATATATTTACAAAGTTCCATTATTTTTTGTTCAAAAAAAAAAAAGTTCCATTATTTTATTTTAGATAGGATATATATATTTACAATTAAAAAACCTACTACTATTTATTATTGTTCGAAAAGGTTTATTAATTTATTATTTGTTCGAAAAGGTTTATTAATTTATTTATACCGTACACGACTTCATTCCGCTTTACTTTCTCTCTCTCCCTCCCCCCTCCCCCACGAAGGGCGGGTTCGACTTTAATTTATCCACCCCTCTTCGACGGTATGCACTCCATCTCCATCTCTTGATAAATAAATAAAAAAACTCGTCTGATTTCTCTTCTCTCTGAACATTTTCAATATCAGGTTCGTTTAGGGCTTTTGCGATTTGAGTATTCTCTCTAATTTCATATTGATTTGAAACCCTAGCTGTTAGATAGGAGTGTGAATCATTTGGTAGTTCGGATTGTAAATTGGTTGAATTTGATCGTCTAGTGTTTGATGAATTGACTCACATATTCATTATTGTCAATTAACCTGGAATTTCAATTAGTTGTGTTTTTATTGTGCCTATTTGGCACAGTTTTTTTTTTAAACTTAAATCCACTAATAGCTTAAAATAAGTGATTTTGGAGTGTTTGGTGGTGTAGCTTATGGGGGTAGATTATAGCTTTTTATAAGTGAAAATTGAGCTTTTTGGTTGAGTGGGGGAGGAGGTGCTTCTCAAAACAGATTAAGCGGGAAGCTCTCATTTGAGGGGCAAAATGACTTAAATGCCCCTTACAATTTGAAGTTATTACAAGTGTGCCAAACATACTCATTTTCTCTCTCTCTCAAGAACCAGAGAGGCGATTTCCGGCGACGTTATGGTTCTCTCTCTCTCTCTCTCTCTCTCTCTCTCTCTCTCTTGAGTTTAAAAGAGAGGAATTGAGTGAGAATGAGCCTTTTTATAGGCTCCCTTAATCACATTTCATTAACACTAATTAATTGAGCACTATTTCATCAATTTAATCTATTTAATTTGATCCGAATCAATTTTCAATTAAATTTCACTGTATGTTCTAAAAATTACGCTAATCACAATGGCACAATCAATTTCAGTTTCTGTGGCCGATATGGCCTTCAATTTTTCAGTTTATAACAGTAAGTTGAATAGATTTTCCTACGGCAAACAGATAGAATTTCCAAACCACATATATTCATATAAATGGCACTCAAAATCATACCAAACACATAATCACATTCATAATAAAGATCAATTAGCATATACGGAACAGGGTTATCACAGTACATTTGGTTCTATAGTTCATACTCCATCTGCTTAGGTACATAGTCAATAGTTCCACAATTGTTCTAAGTTCATCAGTTCTCAAAATCACATTAGAGTCATGTATCATAATAGTTCTTATCGAAGTGTTTCAAGTCATATACAATGTGGCATTCTTCAAATAAGTTTACATGTAGGTGCACAAGCATGCAGTTGTTCATATCAAGAGGTGAGTATCATAGTTAATATTGCAGTTTCCAAATAAGTCTTTCATATAGGCATACGATACACAGTAATGTA